GCATACCTGGCCAATAAATCTGATTCTGATTCTGATCATTATAGTGTGTATACATGAATGCTGTGCAGCTGACCTGATCGTACTCGGAGGCCCCGGGATAAAGAGGCCATCCCAGGAACAGCTCAGCGATGACACATCCCAGAGACCACATGTCGATGGCTTCACAGAAAGGAAGGCCCAGAACGATCTCTGGAGCTCTTGAAGCACATGGAAGATAATATCAAGGATATTTAACTTGTTACAAACACAATGAAGTTACTAACCAAAGGTCATCACACTCACCTGTAGTACCGTGACTGCAGGTAGGTCGAACAAACCGCCTTGGACACGTGGCTGGCCGAGCCGAAGTCGATGACCTTCACCCTGTACGGCTGCCGCAGAGGATCCACCAGCATGATGTTTTCGGGCTTCAGGTCGGCGTGGATCAGGCCCAGGCTCTTCAGCTTCATCAGCGCCGTGGCGACCTGCTGCAGGATGGGCCGTATGCACTTGAGCATCAGGGGGCTGAACTTGCTGTGCTTCAGGAAGTCGTAGAGGTTCTGCTCCAGCATCTCGAACACGAGGCACGTGTGGTTCTTGTGCTGGAAACACTCGTAGGAGCGCACAAAGTTGAACTCGTCGGCGTTCTCCGTGCTCAGCCTGCTGAGGATGCTCACCTGCAGTACGAGGAGGACGGAGAGCGTGGAGGAAGATGGAGGTACACATTTGTTAATTAGTGGAAAATACAGAACTTTAAGCAGACTAATCCCTTTTCAGTTAAAGGACTTCATTTCCCATAATGCTTTGGGGGATGTTTTATTCCAGGCTCAACGATCTTACCAAACCTGGTGTTTTTAATTCCTTTCAACAAACTCACCTCAATTTGACCTTGCCGGGCATAAGAGGGGTGGTTCTTCAGAATTTTAATTGCCACTATCTCATTGGTTCCCCTCTTCCAGCATTTTGCCACCTGACCAAAGGTCCCCCGTCCCAGGAACTCGAGCACCTCGTAGCTGTTGGACATGGAGCACAGGATCTCATGCTGCACCAGCTGGTAGTCGCCCTCGCTGTGGGAGTTGCTGCTCTTGGTTGTAGAAGTCGAGTGTGCTATGGACTGAGCCGTGGTGGTTCCCCCTCCACCGGCCGCGCGGTTTGAGACGACGGGGGCGGAGAGCTCCTCCAGGATCTGGACGCTGTCGCTGCTGTCCACCTCCTCGCTCTTCCTCTTCAGGCTGTACTGCTTGTGGTAGAGGTCACACGGGTGGGAGGCGGACGCCGCTTCCTTCACGCGCCGGCCGGAGGAGGAGGCGGTGGAGGAAGAGGAGGACGGAGGTCCGCGGAGGCTGCCCGTGCTGTCTGCCGCCCGCACCACCGTCTGCTCCCTGGAGCCGGCTGTGGGCGGCTGCGCCTGGTTGGAGTTGTACACATGGTTGAAGTTGGAGTCAGAAGTGGAGGGCGCGGCTGCCTGGGACGGGCTCTGCTGGTAGTAACCATTATCTCCCAGCTGGTTCGATGCTTCCCAGGAGGGGTTCTCCACTTTAAGCCTCTTTGAGCGAGAGTAGGCACTGGAGGACACGGAGGGAGAGGAGAACGCCTGGAGCTGCGACGACATGTCTGAGGATGAAATGAAAGATCAGCAAACACCATCAACAAGAACTGCTTAAGAAGATCTTTAACTATGTTCATTTAAAGGGATTTTTGGATTAAATGCACTCCAGGTCACCCTTACCCCCAACTACAGCTTCCATAATAAAGTAGAACGATCATCTTTCTAACAATGTTGACAAAAAAACTGCAGGAGTTTTGTAAAAGTAGCTGTTTGGTCTGCCTGTAATGTCACAGCTGATTGGTGTCTGATGTAGAAATAGTATGGCATATTATTTTGATCAGAAAAGCAAGAAAATATTGTAAAAAAAAAAAAAATTGAAGTGTTCTTGAACTGGACATAATGCACCAAACATCACAGATACATTGGACGAACCAGATGCATTGTTTAAGTGTTTTAGTAAGCGTGCTAGTTCTCAACACCGGTCCACAGGAGGCCTTTGAAAGGAAAACAATTAAGATAGGGAGAAAAGCAATAAAACAGAGAAAACAACGAGACAATAAATAAATAGACATAAACGGTAGAGCAAAGGCAGCATGATCAAACAGTAAACCAGTCAGAAGCTGTTCATGTGAGCACTGTTGTTTTGATTTCAGCCATTGTTTGAGTCCTCTGTTAAAAGCGTTCCTGTTGCTCTCTAGTTTTCTGCCAGTGGGCGGAGAGCTCCAAAGTTTTTCCCCCCTTTGCAGAGAAAGCAGACCGGCCAAAGGATGTCTCGTACATTGGGACAAGACAATCACCGCTGACGGAGGCTCGTGTGACTGCCCTACGAGAGCTCTGACGCCAAACAGTGGTGACACGTGATTATTTACACATTTAAAAAAACAGTTTAAGATTACTAAAATCATAAAATTGTCAAAGATGAAAAGGTTCTGTTTTTTTTTTTAATTGCAGCAGTGATGCCATCTCATAGGTTTCTGGTCCATGACTTTTATTGTCTGCTAATATAAAGAAACAATAGGTTTTAATGTAGATGGAGACGTTTGGGACCATGATGTGACGCAATATGACAGATGTGGAAAAAAATCAGTGCACGCATGTATAATTTGGCAGTTTGACGTGAAACGAAAACGACTTAGATTTGGTTTGACCTTCTTCACAATGTGCTTAACCTCACTGTCAAATGTTTGAAATTCTCACCCATGATGACGCCTCGCTACTTAACTTATTTTACTACTTTGATACATTCTTATACCTCAAATACATCGTTTCCATTGATTTATTATCATTAATATTCAGACTGATTTTATTTGAATAAATTCTTGGATGCTCCAATCCTCAGAAATATGAAAAACAACAAAGTATTAAAAAGACATTATTTATAGGTTATAAACATCATAACACACCTGCATTGTTTCATCTATAAGTGTTGTCCTGTCTACCTGTTATACCCTGTAACACCTGTACCGGTAACATTCACAGTCTATGGTCATACCCCTCCTTTATAACACATCTGGATACCTGTGCACACCTGAAGACAGTTGAAAAGCTTCACCTTTTCATAAATGACATTACCTGTATTTGATGACTTGAACACAGCGGTGCAGATCTGACATCTAAGGCCTCTCCATCCTCTCCTCTCCGGGCTCTGGGTGCCGCTGCAGCTGAGCAGCTGAGCTTGCTGGCCGCCTGCTGATGGAGCTCTGTGGCGGGATGGAGGAGGGCTCAGCGCACAGCTAACAGCTAACTACGAGTTCACCCCGAGTCATATCTGACTCCGAGTCCGCAAGTCACATCTCGAGTCAAGCGGCCACACGGTGCATAATGTCCGTGGAGGTGTCAGACAGCGTCATAATGAGCGCTGTCGGCCCAGACACAGCTCCATCATCATCATCATCACAGTCTGACTGCTCAGCGTACTTCCTGTTCTGTCGACGTAACGGCGTGACGCACTGAACGTCAAAGTTAATGGAATAGAATAGAATTACTTTATTGATCCCAAACTGGGAAATTGTGGTTACAGCAGCAGGTTATCCAAACACACAATATGAGTAAAAAACACAATGTTAGCAAATTTAAACATGATATAATATTAAATACAAAGTAAATAAACACTAAAAATATGAAAACTAAGAATGGGAATATACACAACCAGGATTATAGGAAGATTAAATGTAAATGTGCAAAAACAGAGTTGTAAATGGACAGTACTGACACAAGTTAAAGTGCATGAGTGTAAACATATTATAAGCAGAAACTATACTATAAGAAGCTCAAAGGAGTACAACATCAGACCTTTCAGTGAATGATATCATCCAGGTGTTCTGAATACAGGTTAACATCACATCTAACCGAGTTTGTCTTTTCTGAGCAAGCAGCTTTCTCTGAATCACACGACACACTCTTATTTCACTGGATGTTTGACAAATTAAAACATTAATTAATTAACTAATTCATTGCATTGCATTTTATCTTTTTGCAATGAAGTATGATGTTGCTTTTGTCTGTTACACAGTTAAACCTTACATGGACTTTTATCTTATTTTGTATGTACACATCGCAACACAATACAACCTCACTCTCAATCATCACTGAATGTAATAGTCAAAAGTTAAATACAACTTTAAGAAGGCCTATTGCTATTGCACTTAACTTTGCTGTTATGCTACATTGCTTAATTAGGCCTACTTACTTGTACTCCCACTTTGCTGCATTTGGGATGTGTGTCATCATGGTTGGAAATGAAACATGGTAAGACAGAAGTCTGGAGTGAAAAGATATGCAGAAAAAAGACTGAAAATCGTCCCCTAGGTGACAGTGGTTCCCAAAGTGGGTGGTCGGGACCCTGAGGGGCTGGCGAGACACTGAGGGGAAGGCTTATAAGATGCCAAAAACACAAAATACAACATAATTTACCCATTATCAAAAGAAAAAGTAGTTCCATTTAAAATGAAATCAAAGTCATTAACTTAGATTAAGGCTGAATAGATGTTTTTTTTTTAAATCCTTAAAATGTAACTTTGCACATGACAGTAACAGTGTTATAGCCCGTGCTTTAACCACCTCCAGGAACAAAGGGGTCCCCAGTTTCTACTAGGATACCAGAAGAGACAACACAATGCAATCCTCCAGGCTGGGAAAAGAGTTTGCAACTGTTTCACCACAAAGTCATCGTAACTGTGAAGTTGGTTCCCTTTATATTTGATCTGAGAGATTCTGAGTCTGCCACTCAGATCTTACATTTCCACACATAAAAACTGTTCTGTTATTATATGTTAGAAATGTAAGAACTGAGTGGCATGCTCAGACTCTCTTATGTAGATTTCATAATGATGATTACAAGCTGCAATACTTCTCCTGCAGGATGCCACTAGTCTCATATTTCCCCAACAGAGGGCGCTGTTGTTGTTGTGGTTGCAGAGACGTGAATGTGGCTGCTTTGCTTTTGACCAAAAACACATTTGACTGCACAAAGTTTAACAAGGACAATGTTTATTCTCAATCCATCGATCGTCAGCATTTCCTCCTCATTCTGATATATTAGCATTTGATGCTTCTACAGCATGTAAACAGTAACAGAAGTATTTCATAGTGGTACTGCAGAGTCAATTCAAACAAAAACACATCACAAAGACTACACCAGCATAGTCATTTAGACATTTTGACAAAATAAACTGCTCATCAGGAGAAATAACACTGCCACATCAGAACGGTCGACGATGGTATGACACACGGCTAGATTCAAGTTTATGTATGGAGTATAACGGGAGTAAATGCATGCAGTACAAACAGGAAGTATGTGTAAAAGTATTGATGAATTTCCTTCAATAAATCAAACATGTTGATACGAGTAATGGAACATATGCAGCGAACTAATTCATTAAACACAAGGTAAACTAAAGAAGTGCTCGGTATTTTATCAAAAAGTTTCATCTAACATTGTACAAAAGCTTTAATTTTATATACATGTAAGAGGAAAAGACCCGCAAATCCTCATGGAAAATAAAAACATAGATCTAAGAACAGCACACGACTTAAATGCAGCTATTTCTTCACTATGATCCACTTTACGTTGCACATTTTTTTCTGTGGAATAAGACAGAAGCTAACTCATTCTAAATGTTGAAATGCAATCTTTCTTTCTACATCCAAGTGGTTCATCTTCAAAGCTCAGGTTGACTTGTGATTTTACGTTTTTGACTCAATGAGGGGACAAAAGAAAGGATTTTCAAGTCTTTTCATTCTTTGCTCTTCCTTGCAGACTACCTGAAGGAGTGTCTGAAGTGCACACTCCTCCGCTTCAGCTTCTCCGGGTTGTGTGAGGCCATGTGGGAAAACTCCCGGAAGATGTCAAGGTACGTGGCGTCTCCTGGGGACGAAAACAGAAAAATAAGGATGAAAATGAGTCAAAACATGTTGTATGAATACAAACAGTGATGAAAACAGAAAGAAGAGGAGCCTCATGAATGCAGACGGAGGCACCATGAAGCCTCCCTCTTTCAACTCTCCAAATTCTGAGCCTTTACTTCTTTTCTCGTGTCCATGGCAGCCGCTGAATCTGCCGGCACCACAAAAGCAGTTGAACTCTTTTGTGTCCCGTGAGAGCTCCGAGGCTCGACTAATTAAAAAAAAAAAGAGGAGGAATGAGCATTCCTGGTTTTTCCCTGTTTCTGTATGTGTGAGAAAAGAGAAGCAGGCTGGGAGATCAAGGACTACAGGGCTTCTAGTTTATTCCACTTCTTCCAACAGAAACAGTTTATAAATGTTTTATAACCTCGGGTGGAACATGTTACTAGTAGAGTTGTTTTGAGTCTCCGTCTTTCCATTCCAATCTCTAATACTAATAATTTACTTTTACTTCACTACAATCATTTGTGAAGTTTTGGTAAATTAACAAAATCAATCTTCATATAACTTCATATAAAGAGTTTGTTATGTGATTTTAGAAATGAAAATATTTTAATTTGGGACGTGCATTAATGGAGAGATGTCCAAGTGGGGCTGCTACATGGAGCTAGCCAGAGCTGTGGGGGGTTTGGTGCCTTGCTCAAGGGAACCTCTGCAATACTCGAGAAGTGAACTGGCACCTCTCCAGCTACCAGACCAACTTCCATATTTTTGGGGATCGCACTGGGACTTAAATGGTCGACTCTCTAAAAAATATTATTTCACTTTTTGGTAGCTCCACAAGTGTGCTGATTTGCTGCTTTTCCTCTTAATTATCACACTAATTCAAAGTTTAGTACTGTTTGCAGAGATTATGACGGATTATAATGCAGCTGTAAACCGTCATTTCTTCATCTTTAATGAAAGTTTCTGAACATAACACATCCTGTCAGTACTTTGTAACAGGTCCAAAATCGCTGCGAACACAGGCTCAAGTACTCTAATAAAACAAGTGTTTCCTTTTTTTTATGAGTTTAGACATAATCCTTTAAACCTCACCTCACCATCCTCACATTTCTATCACTTTGTAGTTTATTGTTATATCATTAATATGTTTAAATGTCTTAAGAAATGAAACGTTCTTGTGTGATCACAAAGGTGGTCCGAATTTTAAATATTTGGATTCTTTTCCCTACCATATGTTTTTAAACTTAACAATCTAATGCTAATTGCTAATTGAATGTTGGATAGTATTGAAAAGAACAGACGCTGTTAAAAAACAAATCCTTAGTTAATTAAAACAGTTTAAATACATGTGCAGGAATGACCCAATACTGGGTGACTTCTATTGTTGTTGCCATGGTTTTAAAACAGGTATCAATATGGTTTGACTATTGGTAGAAACATATTGAAGTCTATAAATCTGGTATCACAACAAACCCAGGTAATCACAATAAATAAGAAAATGATGGCAGCTAGGCTATACTGTGCTGTCAACCATTCATAAAGTATTTAGTAGTTATTACTACTCTACAACAGTTATAGATATCGCTTAATATTTCACTAAACACTTAAAATGTTCTCGTCTGCTTCAAGCTCTCCTTTGTGTGATTTATCTTTTATTGATTATCTTGGACATGAAGGCCTCAGAGGGAAACTCAAGCGACTTCCCCCTGTGTTTAAAAATGAAGCTAAAATGAAAAGTGCAAAATAAAAACTGCAGTTCCTTGGCTGTCCACTTGAGGGCTGGCTCCAAAGCAAAGAAATCCCCATCCAGCCCCATGTTCAAATGTCCATTTTAACAGCAGGAATCCACATGTTTACAACCTGGTTGTGTTGACAGATCATTTCTTTATTGGTTAATACTGTACAAGAGGTGTAATTATTTATAACTTAGTTATTTTGTGTTTTACTGTGCCAATTACTGGTCCTGGTCACAGCAGGATTTGGCCCATGAAGAACTTGTTTGTTCCGTTTTGTATGTTGTTATTTTTTGTTGATTTAAAGCACTTTCCTGACCTTTGCCTGTATAGATAAACTTTACTTTCTTACATACTGATTTAAGCAAAGGATTCTGCCTACGTTTGCATAATTAGGGGCAGGATGATGTGTCTGACAGGTGGGTGCATTGTAGCCATTGGTCAGGTGGGTTAAGGCCCGCCTCTGCTCCACCTCTTACCAGACAGAGCGCCACAGGAATGAGTCCTAAAACCCGGAGGTAAGTTAACATTTGAGCGCCATGGGGTCTAACGTCTAAAAGTCAACGGGGGATTTAGAATGTGTTCGTGGTTAGACTCCTGAAATAAGGTCTGTGGTTAACACAAGCTGAAGAGATGTTGCCGTTTTGTTAGACCACATAAACTACGTTAGCTAATACCCCCACTTGAGAATTTTGAAGTTTTTACGCGTCTTTAAAAAGGCGGTTGCTAACAAGAGGCTAAATGTGACTACAGTGGTTGTCGGGGACATTAAAGGTCATCACGCCGGACACAGAGGGCGGGAACTCTCTCACTAGTCGGAGATGTCTCCTGTAGGTTTAATCTTTAGGTTAAGGTGAATATTATGTTAGTAAACTATTTATTAAGCTACGTGGATTAGTTTATTGGAGATCGTCTGAAGCATAACGCTAGTGACGTCACAATCATCCCACAGTGGCGTAGTTAGCTTGTAGCATAACGTTAGCTTTTTACTTCTGTCGGCCGCATTAACGCTTCAAACATCATAAAAACGGCGTTCATCTGTGAAGATTATCCTGCTGAACAAAACGCCTACAATTCAGAAACGTGCGTTTTGCCACAGAGCTTATTTTCTGCAGTGATCCAAAATCCAATGAAAACATCCCATAGGAGAATTCTCATTAGACCCCATGGCGATGCTACTTCCAGGTTGGCCTACAAAAATACGTCATATGGTTTGTTCTCTATTGATCTCAAGTTAGGTTGAGATAGCGTTTCCAATCTGGTGAGCGTCATCGCTGGGTTTCTAAACGCCTCTTCAGAAACCGATGGGTGACATCACTGAGACTACATCCATCTATGTGTAAACTACATTCATGCACACACACACACGTGGGTCAGACATTAGTAATCACAATGCAACTCTTATTATGTCATGCTTTGGAAATGAGAGGCGTTTAATCCTAAAGTGTGCAGTAAGAGTGAAGTTAGAAGTTTAGTTATGCCGATAAAAGGCTGAAAAAAAGGAGTGAAGGAGGAAGTTGAAATGAAGCAAAGACTCAAAGAGAGAGAGGTTAGTGTTTAGTCACATCTTCAGTTTATTTTCAGTACCGTTCAAGAGGACACTGGGAGGAGTTACTGAATAAAAAGTTAGCAGTTTAGCAGTGTTAATATACACAGTTGCTGTCCAATCAGAGACGCACGTCCTCTTACAATATCCAAAAGAAACAGCACAGGTAACAGTCAGAGACAGAAAAAATACAAGGAAGTTAAAAATCGCATGTTAGAAGCAAGCAGTTAAAGTGTTAATAGTTCATTTAATTTATTTACACAACAGTCAAAATAAATGACCCACTGACTGAAACACCGCAGACACACATGGTACTGTACAACACGTTATCCTGCCGTGGCTCGATGCTCATCATTGTTTGCTCAGTGATGACATCAATCGTCTAACCTGCTTCATGTTGCAAAGGTCGGTGTGTAACTCCCACGGCTATCACAGCCAGACTGCACAAAGTAAGAAAAGGCTGGACTGAGTGTTTTCAAAGTGCTTGGAGTCGATCACTGACAAGCAAGCAGGACGAGGAGGAGGAGGAGGAGGAGGAAGAGGAGGGGGGCAAGGAAGAGGAGGAGGAGGAGGAGGAGGAGGAGGAGGAGGAGAGGAAATCAAAAAGCTGCTGTGTCGGTTGCTTTCTAAATATTCACCGCTCTGAAAGGGGGGGGCTCAAGGGCTCTTCATAAAGTCGTTCATTTTCAGGCTCTCAGAAAAGCTGGATGTGGTCTTTGGTTTATACTAAACCCTAAAGCCCCGTTTCCACCAAGCAGTCCGGTTTGGTTCAGTACAGTTTGGTACGGTAATCCCTGAACTAGCTTGCCCTTTTTTGTTAAGCGGAGTGTAAGCCAGATGGAGATATCCGCGTCAGGTATGTAATTGTGTGACATCATAGCAGCCCAACACGTGTAGCCGCTATTAATGAAGTTAAACGTTCAAGAAGAAGAAAGGGAGCCTTTAGGGTCAGATCGGTACCCTTGGCACCCCAACAAAACGGTACCAAGAAAGTAGTTTGTACTGGAGCCGAACTGAACCGGACCGCTTTTCTCATAGTCCACTGCACAGCTCCTACATTGCACCTTTTGTACATTGTGTTCTTTTTTATTATTATTTTTTATATTTTACATATTTAAATTCTATTTTCTATATTGTAATATCTTCTTATTCTGTATTATTTAAGTTGTTGATAGTTCTTTTTTATTTCCTTGTTAATTGTTTAGCACCAATACACCAAGTCAAATTCCTTGTATGTGTAAATGTACTCGGCAATAAACCCCGATTCTGATTCTGATTGGTGGAAACGGGAGCTTAACAGTCTACAGCAGGGGTTCTCAACTGGTGGGTCAGGATCCAACAGTGGGTCGTGATGCTGTTTTCATTGGGTCGCGAGCATGTGAAAAAACAATCTGTCAAGCGCTTTTTCAAACATGTTAGATTTGTTCCGTTTCTTTGCGTCTGTCAGATGTTTTGCACCGTCCAAGGTACAAAACATTGGACAGAAGCTGAACCATTTAGCATGAAATAAATCTGATTGGTTGAAAAATATCAGAAATTTGGGTCGCTATTTTGTCAGTGTGGAGTCGGTGGTGGGTCCTGAGGCTAGACGAGTTGAGAACCACTGTTCTACAGCTTCTAAGACCAGCAACATCTTTTGGGGATTTTTTTTTATTTATTTTTTTAGGCCAATCTCAGATAAAAGGCAGTGGTCTGTTCCAGCGCTTTAACAAACAGTCGTGTTCGATACGTTCTGGATCACTGCCGTTCACTGAGAGCTGCAAAAGGGGGGCCAAACGAAGTACTGGTATGTATTCATGGGACCAAACCTAATCCAGAGCATTAAAGGGATCAATCAAAACAGTTTTTGGCAGCGTCCTGGCTGCTTTTTTTTTCATTGTCGTCAAGCTTTTTTGCATCAACATCATCGTGCTAATGGAAGACAGTGAGAGGAGTGTTCAGTCTGTTTGCATCCATAACAATAATCAACGTCTTTCCATGCACTGCTGTCATGATTTGGCAGTATATATAATATGGACATCAACGTAACTCGATAATACTAAAATGTCAAATATTCACAGACACCGGGCACAGAAGTAAACGAAAAAGCAACAGGAAGACCTTGGCAACAGCCGACCATGCACTTTGCACATTATCGTGACACATTACAATAAACAAAACGTTTCCAATTTACCAATACTGTACATACAGTAATACATGTTAGCTTAGCGTGATTTATCAAAAAATGTCCATCTTCAAAGTGATTAAATATTATGACACTGTGGAGAACTGGCTCTCTCTCTCTCTCTCTCATCATGAGAATATAATACTGCCGCTGTGTGTGTGTGTGTGTGTGTGTGTGTGTGTGTGTGTGTGTGAGTGCTCAGCAAAATAAAGTCTGACAAAATATATCCAGCTTAAAAAAATACCATCTGCATTGTTGTCAAACATAATACAAAAGATACAGATCATCTGTACTGAAATTGTCATTGCACTATTGCTCAGGGCGTTTACCTCTTCAGTAAAACAAAAAGCTGTTCAGTTGATACTAATAATAAAAAAAAGGAATGGTACCATGTTATATGAGCGAAAAACAACTGGAATAAAAAGTGCATAACTTTCCCTTTTGATTCATCAATCTCTCCATCAGTTCTTCGATGATCATTTTCTTTCTCAGTCACAGTTTTTCGCAGCCTCGCTGTTCCTCTACAGAAATCAAACAGCTCGTCATTGTTTCATGACGCGTTCATGGACTACACATCCTCAGGTTATTAAAAAAAAAAAACTCAACTGAATTAGAATTAAATTGACGTTGTACAGGGAAATGATTTGCCGCACAACCTTGTATAGAAAATATTGCATTTTTCCATTTTCTCATCTTTGCTACAAATATTGTATAAAGCTGTGAAGTGTTTCTCTGTATGTTACTCTAAATGAAAACACAGGACTCTCTATGTGTGGCTCTCTCCAGGCTAATGCATGAGTATATTTTTTTAATATAATTTCTCTAACAGTGCATGTTTAAGTTTGCATGTTTGGATTGAGGTCAGCTATAAATGCTACAACACCAACAAGCCTTAGCTGCAGGTGTCATTGAGAAAAATCCAAGAAGAGGCAGAAACTAAACCTGACTTCACTCTCACTCTTGGATTAAGGAGAGTTATTGTGCTATAATACAATCAGAAGAAATTCTAGTTTTATATCACATGTGAACCTGTGAATTTAAAGCTCCTGTGAGGGAGTTTCTCAGTTTTGGCGCCCCCTTGTGGACAAAAGTGATGCAGCCAAAGTGATCTGTTTAGCTGATCCTGCTATGTGTGTATGAGAGAGTGTTTTGTAATGAAAAATCTCCTTTGCAGATATCACTCAGTGTGAATATTTACGGTGGAGAATTAAAGGAAAGGCTGTTTTTATAAAAGTGGCAGGCGGCAGCGTTTACAGGCATTAAAAATAATCCCTTTAGTCACTGCTGATTTCTTTGCTTTTGTCTGTCATATAAAGGCATCAGTATTACTTTAAGCTTGTTTCATAATCAGCTACAAACTCCTCACAGGAGCTTTAAAAGTCAGTTTTCTGAATCGCCTCCAGTAAGACGTTGACCTCGATTTGAGTTTACACTGACTTTGACCTCAACAAGAATATTTACTTTTTCGTTATAGCAAACTATTGAACTAAATATATTCATGATGACCCGGGCTGAATCATAGAAATAATAAATGGGTCTTGACTTCCACAGCAAAGAGCGCTTGATGTAATTTCTCCCTACTAAAAAAAAAATTATGACTCAATTCCAGGATTAAATTAAATGTAGTAAATCGGTTCAAACGAGCAGCGGCAGGTGTTTAGTTCAGAGTCCCAATAAAGGACCGTGTTGTACCCATAATCCCCCTGCTGATGACTGTATCAGTGTCCCCGTTGATTGCTTTACAATAGTGCCTGCTGGACGTCTTCTATAAAAGTGTCTAACCGTTCTCTGGCAGTGATTTCTTAACTCTGCTGTGATTGGTTTTGAAGTGCACAAGGCTAAGCTCATCTGCAGGTTAATATTTGGCAAACGTTGCATGTGTGACATCATTAAAAGGAGGTTAACACTGAGTTCCTGTGCGAGTCCTGAGCGAGGAGCTGACTGCTGCTGGGAGAGGAACACTCGGTTATTCTGATGCGAAGAAGAAGTGAATTGGCCGGTGAAACGTCTCTCTTAGAGAAGACGAGAGGAGGAATCGACCTTAGAGGGGAAAAAGTTCCTTGGACATGTTTCTCTCAGTCGGTCAGTCGTGTATTTTAATGGCACCCCCTGCACTAACCTGACTGGACCTTTAGTACTCTGCTATGGTGAGACAGATAAACTCCTGAATGCATTTCTTATACTGCTGCTCAGTGGGGCTGCTGGTTGGGTATTGACCTGGCTGTCCGAACGGTCCCTCGGACTCCCGCATCTCCTCGTTCATCCGCGCCAGACGCAGCCTGAAAGAAAAAAGTTGAGTTTAGGTTGTTAGACATTGAACAAAGCTGAGGGGAATTCACAAGAAAGATGCAAAAATGTGACTTTTACATACAGTGTGACGATATCTGCATTGGCCTGCTGCACAGCTATACTCAGAGGGTCCTGTCCGTCCTCGTCCCCGTCGTTCTGTGTGGCTCCTCTTTTCAGGAACAAACACACCTGCCTGAAAAATACATGAGACAGAAGATCGCATCACTTTCACAGATCAGAGCTAAAAACTGTCAGTAAAGAAACAAAATGACATTTTAGAAGAACCCAGAGTGGAATCAAAGGGTTTAAAATTATACAGAAATATGGAGCATAACAGCTGCCCAACACTTTTCTTGTCCCGACTGCTGTCAGCCTTTTCAATGTGATATTTAATTATGCTATTTATTTATTTATTGGCATTGTCCTTCATAATCAATTTAGAGAGTTTCCTGATGAATCCTACATTGTATTTTATTTATTTCTATATTCTGCAAGGTTGTTTTTAATTGTTGTTCTGCTGGCTGTAAAGCATATTGCCCCTCTGAGATAATAAAGACTTCCTTCATCCTTTATCTGACATCAGACTCTGAATAAACTCTTTGTAGTTGTCGTAACCATGACAATTATTCCAACAATGCATGTTTTATTGAAAAGAGTAACGACATGACTTGTGGTGACACGTGCTGCAGTGACTCATGCCTCACCCCGTGTGTCCCAGATATGTGGCATGATGCAGCGGACCCCTCCCTCTCGCGTCTCTTTGGTTGACGTCAGCAGCGTTCTGCAGCAGGAACTCGCAGGCGATCAACGAACCCTAAAAATCAAGAACATAGAAGGTTAACTTGGGGGGGGGGGGCTGGATTGTAACACGGCTGAAACTCTAAAGACGACCCTGATGACATCACTATGACATCATTAGTTACATTTCAACATTTTGCAAAGCTCCTCCAGACTCTCAGTAGAAGATGAATTCAGACTCTTTTAGTCTTTAAATCCATGAGTAAAATATTTACTAATATTTTATTTGGAAATTTTATTTCATTCATATAAACAATAAATTTGAGAAAAACAAACAAACATAAAATCTCAAATTTTGAATGAAAAGGAGCAGAAAGACTAAACTTATAATATCTGATGTAGGCAGATATGACTCACCCCGACCACGGCCTGTATGAGGGGCGTTTTTCCTTCGTCGTCATCGTTGACAGAATTGACGTCGGCGCCGTGGGCCAGAGCTTCTGCCATGACGGGCAGGTTGCGAGCTTTGGAGGCTTTGTAGAGCAGCGCCCCGGGATGAAGGTCTCTTATGTCCTCCGGGTCTGACGTCTCCGGCTCCGCCTCCAACTCAGCCTCCCCGCTCGAGTCCTCCGACACCTCGCACTCTGAGGACAGGAGAGGAAGAAACAAAACATATCGAGCTTCAGCTGAAAAACGCAGCCTGACGTGCCACGTCATAGATTTAACACATTAAAAGGACGATCTGTTCATCATTACTCCGCTGCGCTCACCCTCTGTGACGCTGTCCACCACCGAGCCAAACACCAGGATGTCTGTGCTGCCGTCTGTGCTGCCTCCCAACCCGCTGTCACTGCTCAGGCCTGCCGGACCAAGAGACGCCAGAACAGGGACACATTAGTTACCTCTGTCTTTATCCATCTCATCAGGGTTTGTTTGAAAAAGAACCAGAATGGTGTGTGTTGTACAGAAAGAAGAAGAAGATACAGCTACAGGCTTGAGTAGTGAACAGCTAGTCACTTACTTCGCGGGCCCGATCCAGTGTCAAAGTATGAGAAGAGCGAGTCCAGCTCATCAGGACAAAAGAGCGAGTCTCGTCTGAACTTAGCAGCTGCAGTGAAAGAGAGAGTTCAGAGTTAGAGTGGAGGAAGAGCAGAGGTTCTTAATCGTGCAATAATAACACTAACCAAATAAACAGTCCTGACGTTCTAGGCTTTAGAGACAAACATGACCAGCTTAAAAAACAATGAAATAAACCTCTCCATCCTGTCATCATCAGTGCTCCAAAAACATTTCAGAGCGTACATTTCATTAGTCAAAGGTTTTTCTGAACTCATCATAAAAAGGGACAGTAAAAAAAAGGAATATTAGATTCACACAGTCTGTGTTCCTCCGGGATGCTTTTAGACCTTAGCTCACGTTGTAAAAAAACAGAGGGAGAGGAGAACCAGTCTGTCATATCTGGCTACAATCTTTGCAACTATTCTTCTCCCTTTGGGTTTCTCAAAAAATGGAAAAATGCTCCGGGCTGTCCATGCATTATTAACACGTCAGAGGAACAAACTGGGGCTAGAGAGGCTAAAAGTTGAGGGGCGAGTTTGAAAAACGTCTAATGAAGTCCATCACTAGAAAGAAAAGAAAAGGGGGAACAGTACCTGCAGAGAGGGTGGAGGGGGAGGTGCTTCCAGGCTCTTGTCGGTATCTCCGTCGTGTTTTAGGTACCGTCGTGGCGCTGTTGTGTCTCCGGCATTTCTTCACGCTCCAACGCCGCTCCGACTTCCTCTCCCCGTTGATGAGTATTTCTGTGGAGCCGAGTTTCTTCAGGTATTTCTTCTCGACGTACTTCGCCTTGATCCAAGCCTCCTTCTCCTGCCTGCGAGTGACAACACGGCGTTAACTTGACCTATTCACATGTCATAATATTTAAATGAGCACATCCAGTGCGCCTGGTTTCACTGAGTCCTCACCTGGAACTGGACGGTAGAGGTTTTTTTAGACCTTGTTCCTGGTAGGAGCCTTCATAGATGTGGTTGATGACACTGTTTCCGAGCTCACACATTAACTATAAAACACAAAAAAATGACATTAACAGCCTACACACTATTTTTGAACTTAAAGGAATAGTTCAGAATTTTCTAGCAACTCAAATGAAAAGACATTTTTCAATTAGGGTTAAGATATAGGATACCCATCACTCCTCAAATTTCTGCATGTGAATTAAAAGTGTGAGGAGTGATGAGGTCGGAGCCAAGACACCAAACACAAATCATGTTCTACTGTTCTAAATATCTTAAAAGATACAAACGTGAGTTGTCTGACTGAACTGTGTGAAACGCTGCTGAGACAAACTGTACCTTTAATAATTCTGGTTCCCAGGAGTCCAGCGTGAGTGAGCGAACCTTCGAACAGTGAACCCCGAGACTCCTGCAACATAAGAGAAAAACGTTTTATGGTCTGCTGTCTTATTTTCTTCTAGTTAAGCAATTTAGAGTTGAAAGAAAAGGAAATATAATTTGTTACAACAGATGGCAGCCGACAAAAGAAAACAGAGTGGCCCTGCACTCTTTAATGTGGGGAAAAGTCGACGTTTGTCTCATGAATCATACACTGGGAGTTGTATTTTGGACTGAAAAAAGCTGCATGTGATCTAAAACGAGAAGAGGGAAATGAGAGAAGCTGTTCCCCTAATGTCATGCAAATCACCGAGTTCCTGAATGAAACGGTCTGTTGTCCTGGCAACAGTGAAAACTATGTTTCTCCTCGTCTTTGCCCCTGCTTTGTAACAAGCGGCCACGTATGATCTCACAGCGAGAGAACGAGGGAACATGAATATTCAACAGATGGGAACACAATCACAGAGGAACGGGTTTTTTTTTGTTTTTTTGGGATTACATAAGCAGTTTTTATCAACTTCCAAAAACACACACAAACTTTGCAGAAGGAGCTGGAAATCTCCCTTGTTGGTTGTGTGATGTAACAGAACATTAGCATGCTGCTCTGCGCAGGCTGACGAGAGGATGTGTTGATCTGCGGCATGATACCTTCATTCAACAGCGTTACATCATCTCCACTTTTCAATTAAAACTCCTCAATGAAACTCGTTCAGTGTGTGTGTGTCGCCTTTATCGTCTCACTTCACCTCCTTCAATGAAACTCTCAATCAAAGCCCGATCCAATAAGCAGCATGCGGTGCTCTAATCCCCTCAGCGGTGTGTGTGTGTGGCAGACGGTGTGTGTGCCTTTAACAGCTCAAAGTGAGGCCGAGGTAACGGACAACTGGCAGAACGCTCGGGTTTTAGTGCCAGTACCACACACAGCACATGGCGGCACATTGGTGGGAGAAGGACCTTTTATCAAACTTCCACCCTAACTTAATATGTTCTTTTTTTTTTTTAATTTTCCTCAGGATCAATAAAGTATCTATCTATCTATCTATCTATCTTTAACGTTACTTTAATGTACTGGCTTTAATGTCCAGAGTAATGTGTGTGATTTTCCTGCTGGAGAACGGTTAGAAACGTTTGATCCTCTCTCCATCTATCAAAATAAATCATCACTTAAAGGGTTAATTACACAATTTTCAACCTCACATCCAGCTTTCTAATGTGTGAAGTGTGAAAACGCTTGCAGTTTTTTGCTGAGTTTGCTCTTTTTTGCTGCACCAAAGCTTCAACGAGATGTGAACAGTGGCTTTCTTACTAAGTGGCCAAAAAGGAACAACAGCTTCTAGTTGCCACGTTTGCAAAACTGATGCAACATGGACACCAGGTGCAAGAGAGCCACTGTTCATTTCTTTTTTGGTTCTGGTTTCCACATCTTTTTTCATTTTTTTTAAATCTAATTACAAACTGTCAACATTTTAAACTTCAAAAACAGAATCATAAACAATAAAGCATGTGCTTTGGCTGACCAGGACGTTCAGCTGCATTTATGTGAGCCAGATTCAACACTCAGATAAAATTCAGCATGCCGAGGGTTACCTAAGAGCTGTGCTGGCTGCGATCCGCATTCTTCACAGCAGAATTGGTTCAGACTATGAAAACTTAATCTAAGAACGAGTAAGGCTGGAGTAAATAATAAAAGCCCGAAACCGGAGCGCCCCATGAGAGCATGAGAGGATGTGAATGCAGCATGTGTTTCTGCAGGTTTTAGACAGAACGCGATCTGGACTGAGCGAGCGTGGAGGAGTGCTTGGAAACAAACAGAAACAAAAGCTTGCCACCTCCAAGTCCCTGGCCACAGCTTATTTTAAATCAAACACACACCTTGCGGCAACAGGAGCGCAAGTTCATTTGCTATTTTAAACAACGTGATCGCTTGGCATTAAAACGACAACTGTGTCAGGAGGAAAATACGAAAGACACCTCGGCTGCTCCATGCTTTTTTTCCCAGGAAAATAAGACCAGAAGACCTACAATTGCAGATATTGAGACCAACAAAAATCTAGTTAAAATCAAGATTTTGTCAATTGTGCGCAATGTAAAATGCTAATTTATAATGTGACCCTGTTACAAGTAAAACGACCTCATATGTGAACAGCTGCAGTTTTTGACTGATCTAAAAGACAGAAACATGTTGTTGGCTCTACCTGTGGATGCCTGAGCACTCGATGCACAGCAGGATGCCCAGGTTGATGGAGGCCCAGCGAGGGTCGGCCTGGCCGCAGTCACAGCACTGCTCGTTCCCCGGCAGACACTGGATCCTCTGCAGGATGGTCTCCCCTCGAACGCTGCGCTCCCGCGGCTCACTGGCTGAGTCGATACTGCTGGTGGACGGAGACGCTGTTCTGTCCAGATGCTGAATTCAAAAAGAAAAGTTATTCGTTTTTGGATCACAAAATGCATTTTCTCATTTTTTTTTTTTTTTTTAACTGTCTGTTGTTTGTAGCTTCACATTTATTCAACAGTCATGATAGTTTTCATACATTGATCATATGTCTAAGGTGTAAAATTATAATCTGCAAATAACTAGTCAGCCTGATACATTTTGTGGATAAAAAACAAAATACTCCCCTCTTAATGTAGCAGTATTTAGCAGTTACTGCTTATTCTAATGTTTCAGTTTAACTTTCAAACACTACAACCATGGTTTTTATGAGCTCTATGATATGTGACTTACCTCTATATAGTACGTGTCTGGGCTCTCTCTGTAGGCCGATGCAATGCTAGCTTGAACTGCTTGAATCCACGCTTGTCTTAGCTTCTCAGAGTCAGCCTGCAGCATGCAGCTCCTGTGGAAAAAAAAGTGCAAAATAATTGAAGTAACTTTTCTGCAGACCAGCTTCCTGTGCATTTGTTTTAAATACATTTATATTTTTTATTCTTTATTCAAAGCAACTATAAAAACATATACAATAATCTGTACAGTATCTATAGCACTGCAATATTATAAATAAGTTGTTGAACTCAAGTCGACTCGAAAAATATAACAAAGATGCACCTAGCACCTCTTCATGTAGCGCTGCTTTTAGCTCAATGCTAACATTAGCATTTTTACACTCTCAAAGAAATAACTTAACTTACACTATTAAGCAGATAATATCATGTTCACCATCCAAATTTGCAAGCATGAGTTTAATAAGTGTTCAAAACACGTCAGCTAACACCAAACTAGCATTTACAGCAAGCTAATTTAGTAGCATTGTTTCCCTCTTGCTGTCCATTGTTCGCTGTGAAATCTGTCGCTATGTGTTTTTACCAGACTGACTGTGTTGTTGTAAATGATATCATGCTCACAGTGTAAATGCTGAAGGTTAGCTGGTTTTTGCTTTACCACACAGGCTAATTGAGTTTAGTGTTAAGCGGGCTAGTATAAGCTAATTAGCGATAACACAAAGTAAAGGCAGTGGGGTGTCTGCGAAGTTCAGAGAGAAAGTTACTTAAATTTTGTCATCGCAACTGTGAGTCTGGAAAATAATTTGAGCAGCAGAAGACTTCAATAAAATACATTTTTTAAACTGTTTTGTTTTGTGATCGGAAACCGTAGATCCGTCAGATGCACGAGATTAATGAAGTCAGTGAAATGTATAAACATCATTTTTTGATTGTTGTAAATGGTTCTTAGTTCACCAAACATTAGGACAGCTGAGTCTTTTGGGGGTGATCATTTTTCATTTTGGGGTATTAGTTTATATAAAAAAGTATTGGAGACATTCTTTTTTTGACCTGATGGGGGCGCCAGATGGAAAGTAATGGGATCACTAAATATACTAAAATCCAGCCTTTGGGTAACATGAATTTTTGAACTAAATCACGGAGTAATCCTTGTCGTATTTCAGTCTTACTTGAAGGGGGAGACGACCTCAAAGCAGAACCTCCTCTCGATGTCCTCGCACGGTTTCACAGAGCACAGCCTGAGGTCCTCCACCACCACCGTCAGAGAATCCTGCAAAAACACACAAACAACCTCTCAATTCTCCGCTTATCAAACAGCAGCTCCAACACAACAACAACAACAAAATATCAGCCAGCTGTTCCTCTTTGATAAGACATTGCATCCTGGGAGCCTGCGAGTAGCTAGCCATGAGATATTTACACGGAGTGATGCCATGCAGAGAAATTGAAAATGACCTGAAAAACCAGAGTCAACCCCGGATTGAGCACTCAGATATCAGCAGAGATCTCTTTACCGTCACTGTGTGGTGATGGATGTCAGTGGAGATCACCAAACGTTAACAGCCCCCCCCCGTTAAAGTGCACTTAACCTCTCAGAGCCCACTTTACCCCGGGGGAGAGCTGATAGCTGGAAGGAACAGTATGTGAACTCACCTTAAGTTTCTTCTGATAGACCAGCTGACTGTTCTGTATGGAAAACCACCGTCTAGAGAGCGAGAGAGAGAGAGAGAGAGAGCGAGAGAAATAAACCTTGGATTAGATGGATATCCCTCTGATGCTTTAGGGTCAGCACTGTGGATAGCCGTGATCAAAACAGATAAAAAGCATCGACAGAAATGGCTTTAGCTCCTGGCAACACAACATCAGAAGTACGTGAAATGAAAGCTGGCAAAGCTGCGAGCCAATAGGAAACTGAGAATATAGCACACATTTTTATGCATGTTTATACAATTTACATGATATTGCATTTAGGTATTGTCCCAAGATAATCACATTTTGAGAATTAGGTTTTCTGGGGCGCCGGATAGCCGAGGGGTTATGTTGCACGGCTCATGTATGGAGGCTATGAGTCCTCATTGCAGCGGCCGTGGGTTCGAATCCGACCTCGACCCTTTGCTGCATGTCATCCCCCCCTTTCTCTTATCCCAACATTTCCTGTCTCTATTCAGCTGTCCTATCCTGTCCAAGACAAAATAACAACTATATGATCTTATAAGTAATTTATTCATAAAGTATTCATAAAATATCCTCCACTATTTGGGGGGCCGGCAGCTTAGCGACCCCTTGTCCAGTCGCTTTAGCTCTCCAAGCGGGCCGCATGGCTTCGAACACGGACTGTGGCTCCTTTCCCTGCATGTCATTCCCCACTTTCTCCCTCTATCCACGGTCCTGTCTCTAAAATAAATGCAAAAAATCCCCTGCCAAAATAAACCCATGAGATGTTGATTTTGTAGAAATATTTTATAATTTTTTTGAGTACATTACCATCAGGTTGTATTTTACACTAAAATATTTAGACATAGAAAACTCAACCTTCACTCCTGTTGATGTATATCCATCTCCAACTGTATATATATTTCATAGAGGTTACATTATTGATGTATAGCATAGGCTCATATAGTGGCAGACACCTAAGGACCTCCTAAGACAAAATGCCCCCTCCCCACCTCCTCTACCCAACCCCCTTTTTCTCATGTTGAAGCCTGTATTTGTTTACATTATAGCAACTGGCCCCTTTAAAAGTAATTAGCTATAAGCAGTTTTTATTTGTTATGTAAGCAGTGATGAACAGACAGCTGTCATCGGCAAACTAAGATACTGAAGCTAACTTAAGAAGGCAAGTGTCTGAGTGATAAGATAGAGAAACTGTACATGGATGTTTATTTGCACTGTACATCTTAAACCAGTTTCCCCCTGAGCTATAACTCGAAGAAGCTGCACAATTTTCAGTGCAAAATATGTTCCAAATCAGTAATCCAGACGAGCAGCTAGCAGCTTTCTTCCTGCAGTTTGTGAAGCACATGCATGCTCTCGCTATTTTCATCTTTTGCGGCATGAATACAAAACGCAAAACAGCAATAAACATGAACATGAGGCAGAAAAACAGGATGCAATAACTACAAATAAACAACAAAATGAACGTCAAACAAATAAAGATGCAATCGTTATATATGTTAAATCCCAATGTGATGAAGAGTTGATAAACCAAGTTGCACTGCAGGTTTTTCGTCCATAGAATAACCCTTATTCTCCCACAAATATGAAACGTTTTAAGACAATTAAATGATGTGATATAGAACAGTATATAGAGATGATTTCCATCCTCATTACCTGTTCCAGGTCTTGAAGGCATTGCTGGCCCTCTTGAACAAGTAGCCCTCCATCACCACACCATTGGGAGCGTCGACATTGAACTCCACCTTAGAGTCGTCATATGAAAAGTCCTAAAAGAGGAAAAGAGAGCCAAATTGAAACCCAGGCTGCCACACAAGAAGGCAACAGACCAGATAAGAGTGTCGCTCTTATCAGGAGACAAAACCCTCGTCGCCTTCCTGCAGCGACAGAGATGCATGTGTGCTGTTCCAGGAAAAAACAGTATAGCCGCTGCAGTGGATGTTCACTGTACTGTACATACAGTCCATCAGCCAGGCCAATCATTATACTGTGTGCGTGTTTATAGTGCAATCATGTAGAAGCAGTCACATGTTGGTCCATGGATGTATAGGAGTTGCATGCCATCCCAACTGTGCGGCACACGGGGACATTTCATAACTCAACAGATGTGAGTGTGACGCAAATTATTACATAACTGTGATTCATATGAAATTAGCCTCCGAGCTTTGTGTGACTTACAATTTAACACAAGCACTGCAACGCTACAGCCAACAGGATGAGGTATTTTGGGTATTTAACTCTGCAGGCTGAGTCTTTCCCAAACCAAATGAAGAGGAAGCACAAGTTTCCTCGGAAAGGAAGGCTAAAATGATTTAGTGAGCCCTAAGACTTCTCGTACTTGTACGCTCAATTTCAAGAGGAAATGTAATATGCAGGAGGAACAGTACATTAAATTATCCTAATGTGGTTTAAACGTATTACATGCATGCTGCTCTGAGGAAAGACCGGGTCTTCCCGACAGGCTCATTTTAGATACTGCGCTTAAAACGCCGACATGTACTAGATAGTGTTGTAGTCAAGACCACACCAACCGAGACCAAGACATGCCCGAGACCAGTGCTCCGAGACTGAGGCAAGACCAGGGCCCGAGACAAGACTAAGACCAAGGCAGGGCGAGACCGAGGCAAGACCGAGACATTTAGGGATCGAGACCGAGTCAAGGACAAAGACCAAGACCAGAAAATAGAAAAATCCTCATCTTGTGTTCAGCGTGTCACTCACTTACACCGTAACACCGGGAAGGTTGCTGAGGTAACCGGAGGATAAAAATCTAATTATGAATGAAGTGAAGTTATTGTTTGTTTTAGAAAGGGGTGTTTTCCTTCTAATGACAGAAATGATGTGCGGTAATAGCCTGTCAGTGGTGGTCTTGAGTCCACCCAGTCTGAGACCTAGACGAGACTGAGTAAAAATTCTTCCTCTTCTGAGATGAGACCGACACCTTCAGAAAGTGGTCTCGAGACCAAGACCAATTTCGAATACTACAAGAGCAGTATGAGACAGAAAACATGGTAAAAAAAAAAGTGATGGAGAATAGTAAATATCTTCATTCACTGATCTGTGAGAACGAGCAGCAGCTCCCGGAACACAGTTAACTACTTATTTCATGTTTGAATAACACAAAGACTTACTGCTCTGCAAAGGTCGAACGCTTTACTTAAAAAAAAAAAAAAAAAAGGTTTTGTTGTAGCACACAAGAGCACGGCGTCTGGTTCACACACCTTCATCACGCCTCAGATTCATGACGTGAAAGTAGACCATGCTTATAGTCAAACAGAAAAGTCATAGATAGTTTACACAAGCAAAACACATCAATGATTAATGAAAAAAAGCTCCTTAACACACGAGCAAAAAAATCACAAGTATCAAAACACAGAGGGTCACAAAAAGTTGATCTTTTTGAACTCTAAATGACTCAAAAGGCGATGCTAACAAACTGCAAAACATAACTGTCATGACAGGATTCTCCTTATCTTCAAAACCTTGAAAATAACAAGTCCAGCATGCATTGCTACAGAAAATGATAAAAAAAATAAAAAAAATAAAAAAGAAGTATGAAGTAAGTAGTCAGAAATGACACAATCTATCGAGTCAGGAGTTTAAAATATGCACCATTCCTCCTTTTCCCACGCTGACTCAAATTTGCAATGAAAGCATGCACCAGTGTTGTTCAGATTATGCTTATTTTAACATACATCACCGAGCATTACACCTGGGACCTGAGCGCAATGTTCTCCGATTATTTTAAGAGTGTGCAGACGGAGAGTAACAGCAGGGAATCAAAGAGAGAGACGTTAAGGGAATAAGGGAGCAGAGACGCTGCCAGAGAAAAGCGAAAAAAAGAAACACTTCTCTCTTACCTAAGCCTGCCGTAAGAAAATAGAAAAAACCTAAACAAACAAGAACATGTCAGGGATCATAAAAACGAGTTTAAAAAGTATGATGACGATAAGAGAATATGCACACAAACCCACCAGGCCGTGGTCCCAGTGGCACAGGATCTTCATTTTCAAACGTTTCGAGCGTTCCAGCAACATTTGAAAATGAAATAAAATTCAAACAATATAAAAAAAAAAAAATCCAGATGCCCCTCAGAGTAGTAGCATCCTCACTCCCTCACAGTGGAGGCGTACACACACTGCACGGCTGCAGTAGTACTCTGGTTAATTCCAACACTGACATGTGTGCCCTGTGAGCCGAGGGAAAGGATTAGCACTGATTAGCATACAGCTGCCAAAAGTTTCCACCGGCAGGGTTTGTGTGGAAGAACACAGGACTAACACTGACACAGTGCTGGAGCTGCTCTCCAACCCCAAAGAGAGCTGCTTTGACACCACTGAGTCACACACACACACACACACACACACACACACACACACACCTCCCCTCGGTGGAGAAGGTGGGAGTTTCAGTCCCCTTGTTGACTCAGAAGGAATCTATCTGGCAGGCTGCCCAGAGCACCAAACAAATACAACTCAGGGATTTCATTTATCTAGACTAACAACTGCAATGCAACTATTTCATCAGTAAGAGGTCGATGCAGCTTACCTTCAGCTGTCAACACGCCTTTCCCTTTTTCGGAAACATCACCAACATAAGAGTCAACACTGAACAAGAGGAGCGCTGCCTGCTCGGTCGTCTGCGCTCTCTCAAGAAAGCCCACAACAAAGATCATCTATTTTTAATGATGCAACGTCACTCACAAGATAGAAACTGAACATCAGTGAATTATTGAACAAGCTGGGAAACGGAGACTTTTTCAAATGTTTTCCAGCAAATATGGAAAATGTTCCTGCAGCAGGAGGAGACAGTGGACGACGCAGAGACGGCATGTCAGGAAGTGGATCCACCTGCTGCACGCGTCAAGACTTTAGGATCTAACACGGAGATCTGACACCAAACGGTGAGCCCAGTCAGTCGCACTGATGATGAACTTGATTACTGCTGACGCTTCCTGTGTCTCATAATTACTACTAGCTTTCTTCCTTTCTAGAAACAGGCTTTGAACTTTCATCCTGTGTGTAAGAACAGCTCACTGACAGCTGCTTCCAGTAATCCTCAGCAGACCGGGTCACCTGCATTACACAGTTACAGAAGCCTGACATCACAACACTTCTCTTCAAACACAATCCTGACATGAAGCAGTGATCGTCAGTGATCATTAAAAAAGGTCCACAGCCTTTGAAACAGACTGACGACAGCAATGTGAGGGAACGCGTGGGCTTCTAGTTATCAGACCGGCTCAGGTTAATACTTCAATTAAAAAACAGGATTCAGCAAAAGTCATCAGGAGTAAACGTTAACACAGTGTCCTTGTTTTTAACTATTCTAACATGCTATTATTAAAGGTGCAATGATGCATAATGACGCAAAGTTGACAACATTTTCAGGCAAACAAAGCCAAAAGATGAGAGTATTGTAAGCGTTTGCTTGAATGATTGAAACCTTTATTGCCCCTTGGGAATTTGCCTTGCTTGTCTAATACAGTATTATACTGTAGAGAGTTTGCTAAATTAATCAAGTGATTTATCAATGCTTCATCTTGTGTTTGGAGATCATTTTGTAACGTTTCAGCATTTATTTGTGTCCTGTTATTTTAATAAGATTTCAGACTATAACTCCGCACTGTAACTTTTACACTGATTTTTTTCTATGACTCTTTTTAAAGCTTCTATTTTAACTGATTTTTTAATCTTATTTTATTTCAAGGAATCTAATTAGAATGAATTATTATAACATATTTTTATATCTAATCTTCTCTGTGATTAAGAATTGCCTATTTTCGTGATTTTTTAATGTTTGAATGCTTTTGTCCTGATACTTTTGATGTGTGAAGCACTTTGAAAGCACTTTGTTGCTGAATTGTAGTCTAGAAAAGAAAACTCGCCTGGTGATCCTTTTCTTGTCATTTCAGAGTTATTGTTGCTGGAACAATTTCAACTCACCACTGGGATTAATAAAGTCTTCTGTCTATATTTGGGCTGTTAAACCATAAAAGAAATGTTCATTATTTGACTCCTGCATTGAGAAAATTGGTATTTTTATCAAATTAAGTACTATATATATAAACCTTAAATCTTATTAAAAACGGGCTTATATGAACTTACATCATGTATCTACCTCCATTCATAAACTGTGTGTGTCTTCAATGTCTCCACTCTTGTTGTTTTGATTTTCTTCTGTGTTTCCTAATGTTGAATATTAAGAATTTAAAGCACCATCCAAACAATAACATCTGCTATGTTTTTCTCTGCATGTATTTGGAGTAAAAATAACCCCAGTGACGCACAGAGGCCGCCGCCGCACTCATGATGCAGACGTAGAAATATAGACCAGCAGGAGGAGCCTGCAACTGGGACAGAACTTCTCCATTAAACCTGCGGTTAAAAATGAATGTCTCAAGCATGTAGACGCTTTCTCTCCCTGCACTGTGCGCCCGGCCAGCAATAGTGACAGTCCGTCGTTCGTAGCACTTTAACTCGCTTTCTGCTCTCCTGGTTTTATTGCTTGTACTGAGTAAAGGCTGCCCCCCCCCCCCACCCCCCTCTTTGTCCTGTGTAAGTTTACACAAGGCTTATTGCAAATGTTTTTTACGCAGTGAAGAAGACAAGAAACAAGAGAGGGAAAATCTCTGTGACAAAGTAGGGCATCGTGTTTTTTTTTGAAGCAGTGGAGACAAAGGAAGAGGTTTACAAAATATGATCACATCCTGCTGCTCTGTGCAGGAATACATCTGCCCACATCATTTTATATTTCAGATGCAGGAAGATTCTGCACGTGGAGTGAAAAAACAAACCCAAGAAGGTCAATTAGAAGAGTTCAAAAAACCACATTTTTAGTGGTCAGCACAATGTGGGACACTCCGATCATCCCTTTTTGCAGAAGGTGATGTAACAGACGGTTTTTAATACAGGCCCTTTCAAACCCACTTTGGTGTTTCTAATTGTTCTGTATAAATGATTCAGGATGCACTTCAGCTCGCCCTCAAGGCTTCTGGAGTCTGGCTACAGCGTGAAGAAAACTTCAAAGGGGTTTGTTAATGTTCTGCACTGAGCTGCAGTCCCCCCCCCCTCTCAAACACTCGAGCAAACATGTTGTTTTTACACATTCAAATCAAACTTTCAGATGGGGAAACAAAAGAGTACTCACCTGCAAGAGCGTCTGAGTGGAGACAGCGTCATGAGGGGAGCATGTGGAAAACAAGAAGATGACGAAAAAAAGTTAGACGAGTTTAGGTGGGGATAATACAATAATCTTTTCAGGTTGAGTGCCGCTCAGATTATCTTCTTTACTCATCCTTCTGCAAAATTACACTCGAGCAACAACAACAAAAACATCACCAACCTGCAGCTACACCACAATATTTTCATGCCTTGCTACTTTTTTCACGGATTCTACTCCTAACCTTGTTGATTCTACTTCATTAAGTGTCCTGCATGAAGCTTAGTGTCTAAACAGCTCTGGCAAAAACAGATCAATAACGGGCTCCACATGTGACCCGGCCCTCCCTCTACAGCGCAGACCGCAGCGCCTGGAGGGAGAGCGCTGACCGGAGCGGCCTGACAGATGGTCACTGATCCTGGGGTACCGAGGAGCCAGACACTAGGCCCCGCGAAAAAAAAAAAAGAGGGCTCTCTGAATTATTAAATAACAACAAGATGCCAGAGAGAGAGAAAGAAAGAAAGAGAGAGAGAAAGAGAGAGAGAGATAGAGAAAGAAAGAGAGAGAGAGAGAGATAGAGAAAGAGAGAGAGAGAGAGAGAGAGAGAGAGAGAGAGAGAGAGAGAGAGAGAGGGGGCACCCTACATTTATGGGCTCCATTATGAGTGCAGAGAATAAACACAGTATATTTATAGAGAGCATTTAAATGTGTACAGGAATAAAAACGTGTTAAATAATACCACCGATACCAAAAGTAGCGTCCTTATAATTTACATTGAAGCGTCGAGCTAAATGCTAACACGAGGACAATGTGTCATGGAATCACAAAAGTTAAGGGGAACAAACATTTCTATTAAATTTCATGGCAAATCATCCGATACATTCAAACACTCTACAACGAAGCAATCGCTCAAACCCATAAGGCGTGCAAAAGATGAGAAGTGAAGTCGATGTAGAAGTGCCTAAAACCTGCAGTCTGTCCAAAGGCCAGCAGGGGGCAACGTTACCGGTTGCAAAGACAACTTGAATTGTTCATAACAGAGCAGGGACGTGTGAAGTAAGGGTGCTGAGGGTGCTGCAGAACCCCCCCGAAATCAGGCACAGTTGAATTGACAGCTATGAGAATATTGAAACTAACACGTGGTTACATGTGATGTGTGGATGTAGCAGCCTACACCGCTGTGTAAAACAGTCTGTACATCATTTATGTTACCTCCTGCAGAGCGTCCAACTCACAGCTGTTTTCGAGGAGATTATCGATCTATGCGCACACTGAGGTGTTTTATTTTGAAAACCTCGCTGAATATTCTTTTAGATCTTGTAGAACAACTTCTGACAGAGCGGAACAACTGCACAACTCCACTTTGCAAAAAGACGCCCACACAGCTCCGCTGCTCCCCTGCTGTCTAGAAACACTGTGCTTAAGGTTTATTTACGTGTCTAAACATTATGATGTCATCAAATATAATGATTCTCTCAGCAACACCAACTGAAACTGACTCCGCTTGCCCCAAACTATGTGAAAAAATTACCATCATTTTCATGTTTTTTCTTTTTAATAAACATTTTCCTAATGAGTTCATGGTCTTAATCACATGACTGTCATTTTGCTAATTATGGTCCCGTTTAGTGGTATTAATCAAAGCAATGTGTGATGTCACGGTGGCTACGTCCATATTATTACATCAAAAAGATAAAAAGGAATTTAAGGCCTTCCTACCAATCAGCTTTACTCTAAAACACACATTTGGCAACAAGTGAGCGTGCTTGAAAATCCTCGTTAAACTTCAACATCAGCACTTTACTGGACTCAGAGGGTCCTGGTGATACATCAGCACAAAGTGTAATATCCTGAGCGTCTACAGCAGACAACAGTTGGATGAATAAGTCTTAGCTCCACCTGAATTAATGCTTTAAATCGATGCCTGGACGTTGTTAGAGGGATTAATCAAACACTTCCCAGCTGCTCAGGTCTAATCCCTCCACAGTCACAACAGATGTACCGGGATAAGTGGCAGACTGGAGCCCGGAGGTGAGACGTGAGCGGCACATTCACACCCCTGCTTTCGTTCTCACAACAGCAGCGAAGAGAGTCAAAACCTGAACCATGGAAAGATCGCACTCCTCAATCCAGGGTTTATGTGGAGTAATGTCAGAGTTTTCCCTGCAGATACGCAGCTCTTATGTTTCTAACACATCTACACGGTTACTCTAAAGACAAAAGAGGAACTCACCCTCTGCTGAATAGTTGCATGTTTATGCTCCATCTCCCTCTTCTCCATGGCTGAATCAATCACCAGCTGATCCAGCTAAAGGTCCGTCACACAAAAAAAGTACAAGAGTGTTTATAAAAAAAAAAAAGGGATCATGTGTATATCTTCATTTTGCAGTGAAATAATTCTAACATATCTGAAAGTAGAAGGATGCAGAGAGGCTGACTGCAACACTCCCCCCCCCAAACACAGAGTAGACCTCCAATGACACGTTAGGTCAGAGTGTTTGGTAATGCAGCATTGATTCAGCAGCAGTCCGCCTGCTGTGACCTCACAATAACACGTGAGTGAAATAATGGAGACTCTTTTCAGGGGGATGAAGAGAGGATGATTTTTTTTTTTTTTTTTTTACTATCGTTAATCGAGCGAAAAAATCAAAATCAAATCAAAAGTCTCACATACAAGAACATGCAAAATCAACAGTGCTTTTAGTTCAGATGATGCATTACGCAACCGCTTCTTGTCAATAGTGACGATGCAGAGCGCTTGAGGAAGTGACGCGGCTCAGCTGACGGAGCAGCAGACTCTCACCTCAGCAGCCAGTTTCTTCATGTACGGGTCGATCTCATCCAGCAGGTTGTAGCCCTGCTGGAACAGGGAGTACTGGGCGTGCATGAACGACAGCATCTGGAGGAGACGGACACAGTTTTTTTTAGTTAAATCACACAGAGAGAAGACCACATTACTGGATGTGTTTATGTGTTTGTGTGTTTGTGTGCATTCACTTACAGCATCCAGGATCTCAAATTTCTTCTTGGCCTGGAGGACGTTGATCTGGTGGCGGAAAATAAAGACAGATGGTGGGTTTGTAAATGAGTAAAATACTCTAAGGTAAAGGTAAACTAACAGACGGTTTGGTGTGAGAAGTGATGAAATGTGAAGCTACTTTTTCAAAAGCTATTTTTAGGATCGTTTCGCCTTTATCAGAGAGGACAGCTAAAGAGAGATGTGAGATGTTGGGAGGAGAGAGATGGGGATGACATGCAGCAAAGGGCCGAGGTCGGATTCAAACCCGCAGCCTCTGCATTGAGGACTAAAGTCTCCATATATGGGCCGCACAACATAACCGCTACGCCATCCAGCGCCTCGCTATAAAAGGATGTTTATGACATCATCACTTGAGTAAACCCACTTACTTGCCTTTAACTACTAATGTCTGAATAATGGTTGTTTTTTCGACAGAAACAGAAACAAAACACCTCGTTTGAAGTCTTTCAGGTTACAGAGGTAACACCCTCTAGTTCAGTGGTTCTCAACTGGTGGGTCGGGACCCAAAAGTGGGTCGCGGACGCAAACATGTGACTGGGGAAAAAAAATGCCAAAAAGTGCTCCTAAAACATGCAGGTTTTGTTCCTTTTCTTTCTTCCATCGTTCCATTTGAGGACCAAATTGCACTACTTTTCATTCAATAAATCTGATTGGTTGAAAAATTATCAGAAACTTGGGTCACGATTTTCATGAAGGACTTGGTGGTGGGTCCTTAGACTAGACCAGTTGAGAACCTCTGCTCTAGTGGGCACATTTTCCTTTATTTGAATATATCAAGATCAACGTTAAGTGGAGTTCACCCTGACAAACAGGCTACAAGAAGTCTTATTATGAGAGAAGAGCACAAGAGGAAAACACATTTACTGCTACATAAAAAAAACACGGCCCCTGTGGCGTCTCCTCAGTTAAAGCCTTCACATTGTACATCCTAACTGATGCAAACCTAAATGACATTTTATGCTACATTTAAGAGGTCACTCGTACATACAGGGAATCCTCCCTGCAGCTTTAACCTCGTCTGCCTCGAGACACTTTCAATTAAGACTCAAAAAAAGACGTCTGAGAGCGGAGAGAGAGAGAGAGGCAGACGAAAAAAAACCAAGAATGGAAAGAGGGCACGACGGCCGTGACGGCGATCACACTGAATCAGTGTCTTTGTTCCCGCAGGCCGCATGTGTAGGAAGAGACAACTTGTGGGCAAAATAAAGCCATGCTGCAGACGAGCGGAGAAGGAGGATGTGTCACAAAGAAAGAGGGAAGGGCACAGACTACACTGCAGGAGGAACATCTTGCTACGTCAGAGAGATTCCCTCTCAGGCAGAATTTGTGGGAAATGAATACAAAACTGCATCAAAGAATATTTGATTTTAACACGTCATCTCAAGACCTCAAAGCATTTAATCTCAGTCAAATTAAAACACATAAACGTCAAGCACAGCTCAAATAAGTAGGGCCCGACCGATATGGGATGTGTTCCTTAAAAATAAATCTACATGATGGCGTTTTAAGCATGCACACATTTACATTTTCGGTGTTAGTTACATGTAAATGAGAATTCAAACAGTGACATTTTCCTGCCAGCAAACTGGTAATATTTCCATGTGAGGTGGTAGATGAACGCATGTGTGAACAGGGCAGGTTATATTCAGGAAGATTCACCCCAAGCTAGTGAGGCGGGGTGATAACATCTACATCTCTTCACTGTAGTGCATGAACAGTTTGATCTTCAGGCACACAATAAACCAGCTTCAGAGTCCGATCGTTGGTACCATGAATACATGTAATAACAAGTGGAATTGAGATAAAGTAAAAAATAGTAATTATTGTGTCAGGCTCTGTCGCTTTGTCCGTCATCTTGGATTTCCACTGTGTCTTTCTGAAGTAATTTCTTGCCACAGGAACATTTAGGGGGCAGCCTGTCTTGAGATTTTCCAGTGTTTGTCAGGAGTGCATGTGTGAAAACAGCTTAGGTTGGCCGAGACATCATTTCTGTTTGGATTAGACTTTAATAACTTTAAATCTCTTCTCAAATCACAGGAGGATAGAGACTTTCTCCTGAGCCTGCAAAACAAAGAGGCTCATGTCTTCATAACATGTTTGCAGCTCCTCACCTGGAGCACGTAGTCCAGGGCGAGGTGTCTGAAACACTTCCGGGTGATGCTGAGCGTGCCGGCGGCCTCTTCCACCTCGTGAGGTTTGTTCCTGGGCGCCTGAGCGTTCTTCACCTGCGCTATCTCCATGTCCTCTCGCACCCTGTCGAAGTGCTTCTTCGTGTCCTTGAACTTCCGAACATCCCTGAGAGACACAGACGAGCAGAGTTGAAGTGAAAGTGTTCAGTTCAGGGGACAGCAGAATTGAACACTCCGGAGGCACCCAAAAAAGTCAAAGTGAGGTCACAGGTAACCTACTTTGTCTACTTTGTTCACACTTTGTCTGTGAGCGGAAAACAAGGTCGTTCTCTGTTTAATATTTAAGAAGACAAAAGATGTTTTTTTAAAAGGGTGACGAGGGTAAGTCTTCCCGTTAAAAGGTTGTGCACTTTGGCTTTTTTGTCTACCTGTGCTGAATCATTTATACATCCTAAGTTCTGCACAGATACCTGACTGAAGCATTAGGGATGGTCGGGTTTACTCACTCTTTCACAAAGTTGTGCAACTGCTGCTTCACCGAGCGCTGAGCTTGATCGAACAGGATCTGTAAGAGAGGACAAGAAGAAAACAGCAATGCTGAATTACTGAATGTTTTTAACACACATAAAGATTTTTAAATAGATTAACTGGAATTGAGATGCAGGACGAAACTGCAGGATTATACCTTGGGAAACCAGGTTGCAAAAACTGAGCTGGAACTTTTAGATAGTTTGAATTCCCAATGTTCCTCTTTCAAGCTTTGCAAATATGAGGATGTGACTGTGGTTTATGTGGTAGAAAATGAGTCTTTGGGAATTTGATGGTTGGTTAAAAAACAAACATCACCATGCGCTCTGATAATTTTATTTACACTTGAAGGATCATTCTTAAAAAAAGAAATGTCAAACCAAACAAGATCAAATAAAAACCACAACATTAATCATCTACACAGAGGCAAGATTGCAAAACCAAACAGAGCTGACATATTTTACAGATGTTTTCACATTCTCCCTTTTTCATGTATTGTGAGAAAGAAGTGTCGCCTACGGGCGGCTTGTTGTGTAAGATCTGCAACTCAATAGATTTGAGAGCTGCTTTGTACTTTCATCAGATTATACTGAAGTTCATGTTGGGGCATTTTACTTAAAAGAAGAGTTTGAATATTTCTCCCACAACTGATTTGACAGTTACATAAAAATAATAGTAACACCGGGTCATAACCGCCCATCAGAAGCTAAGTGACGATACAATCAATGCCATTTTTTTTGGACTCAACACATTCAGCTGCCTTCACAGGAGTATTATCAAATCTAAGAAAAAAAAAAAGCAAACAGCAATCCAAAAGTAAACAGTCAAACATATACTTATGAAAACCATAATAATTTAGTGAATCCATAATTTCATCCATACAGGGTCAACTTTTTATGGGGACAAAAAAAACATGGTTTGATAACTACTGCTTGATTATTTTATTTTACTTTGATAGATATAAAAACAGAGAGGTTATACATATTGTTTGTACCTCCTCATTAGTAGGATGAGAAATGGAAAAATGCATTTAGAATTTTGGAGGGAAAACAGCAGCTTGTTATAATTATATTTTTGACCAAGAGAGGGTGACAAAGCACAGCTTTTCCTCACACAATGCATGCAAACGATGCAAATCAGCCCCTTAACGCCTGTTGGAGTGAATGGTGGAGGAATGTCACTCTGAGTCAAACACACCCGCTCTAACACAATAACACGGTGCCTTTGGTTAGGTGTTTCACATTCAAGATCCCTCCTCCTCTGTTTCACCCTCTGAGCACATCGTCTGTGATCGCTGCTGCTGCCGCTAAATAGGTCACTCGGGCAGAGAGGGAGGGAGGAAGTGAGGGAGGAAGAGGAGAGGAGAGGAGAGGAGAGGAGAGGAGGTTTTTGGTACAATGTGAAACTGCAGAGGCAAAGGCAGGGTGCACAAACCTGCACTGACAAATTGTCAGAGCACACGTGCCATCAGCATGACTGAGCAGCTAGATCGGTTAAAGGGTTTGCATCCTCATCCTGTCTGAATAATTGGATGTACGACTGTGTGGGGGATTAGCAGATTTTAAGGCTGTTTAAAACTAGGCTTACGTGTGTTTTAACTCAGGGATTACAGGCACATAATGATGATGAGTAAAGACACTGTTCTGTAGCTGCTACTGAGGCGCTGGAACCGTAAAAATAAGTATAGATGACTTCTTTGAGTCGCCCAGACGTAAAAATAAAAATGCGGCAGTAAAGGAAGTGGTCAGTTTCTGAACATTTTCCTGCCATTTATTTGAAGAGAGATGTGTTTGTTTTGATGCTGGGTTCAGCTCCATAAACTCACTGAGTCCAAATGAGAATGAGAGAAGAGCCACACTGACCTCAACCTCAAGGCTCGAGCCGACCCAGAATTTCATCTGTCTCATCACTTATCATGTTTTCTTGCTTGTTTTCAGAATCAGAATCGGGGTTTATTGCCGAGTACATTTACAACGAATTTGACTTGGTGTATTGGTGCTAAACAAAACAGGGAAATAAAGTAGAACTAGCAACAACTTAAATAATACAGTATAAGAAGCTATTACGATATATTGAATAGAGTTTAAAAATGTAAAATATAAAAAATAAAATGTAAAAATAAAAAACACAATGTACAAAAGGTAGTTTTGCTGTGCTTGTAATAAGCCATCTTTCTTAATTCTAGAAAAGACATTGAGGTTTCCCTCGTTTCCAATGCTGTTGAGATAAATTGATCTCAAATGAATTTAATTGAAATGAACATTTGGATGTTTGATACCAAACGTTAACTTTTTTAGTTCAGCCCAAAACAAACTCAAACATCAGCTTCCTGTCAGACTCCTTTGTGAGGATCATGTTTACATGTAAGGTGCACGTTACTAAGTCCGCCATGAGCACCTGCTGCCAAACTGGACATCAACTGATTTCTCAGTGCTCAGTCCCGTCACTTTTTTATAAAAACACAACAATGGATAAAGATTATTGTCATGTGACGTCTGGAATGACAGGAGACAAGCTGAGCGAACGCAGCAGCAGCTCAGCTCACAGCCCACCAGGACAAAAAAGCTCGCTGAAGCTCGTCTTGTTGTTTCTTTTTAACGTTTTGGTGAGCATTAAAGAAACAGATTTTTAATCTTAAAGGTGCTTCATTTCAATGGCTCAATGTGTTTTTGTGAGTTCTGCATAAACAAAAATCTCCATGGATCACTCGACTCCCTTTGAAGATCTGGTGAACAATAGCACTGAAGGAATAAGAGGAGCATCTGAAAACCAGCCAGCAGCAGCTCGGCCGGTTGCCTTTCCTGACGTGCTTGCCAAAGAGTGTTGGAGAAAAGCTCCTTTCTATCCTAAAATTAATTTATTCCATGTTTTGACAGGTTTAAAACAGTCTCTGTTTGTTTTGGAGATAAGGAGACCTCGGCTGATAATTCATCTCACAGTAAAAAAACGTAAACTTTACAGCCCACCATGCTCCTGCTTCTTCACTGATAACAAACTGAAGATTTCTTGGCTTATATTTCAAATTCTTCCTCTTTAAAACGGGTATGTATGTGGGTTGTATTTAATATCTGACTGTAGCTATGTGGTCAAACTGTGCAGTAACACACACTCATAGGTGAGTCAGACTTTCTAGTAAAGTAAATAAAAGTCTGTTTAAGTTTCCTGTTCTAAGTCCGTTCTGTTTTCACTGTGGATCACCCGGGTTTGATCGTTCACGTGTGGTCAATCTGTTTTTCCGGCTGCAGTTTAACAAGCTCCTAGAAAAGCACAAGTGTGGACTTCCACAAACATGCAGGGGACTCAAAACAGGGCCGGCAGCCATAAACACAAAGGGCTGTAAGATTAGGTTTGTGGCACCACGCTGACAGGACTGAAGCGCTCGGTGTAAACCACAATCTCTCTAAAAAGAAGTCAACAAGTCAACAGGCACAGCGCCGTGTTTGTGAGCGGTGAGTGGTGGCAGGAAAAGTGCTGTGAGACTTCCCCCCTGCTCTGTGGGTAGCTCAGCCCGGAGCATTCCTGAGCTGCTCTGTGGCAAGTTGACACCCTGCTCTGATTGGACGATATGCGAGCAGGTTGTCTCTGCTGGGGTTTAAACTAGCATCTCAAAAAGAGACTTAAAGGCGACTTAAAAAAAAAAAGAGAATACCGGTACATGAATGCAAACAACGTGCAAATCTGTCAGTCGTGATCAGAGTGTATCCCAACCAACAACTCAAATTCTTGAGGATCACACATTTCACCAGAGGTTTTCTTCAGGTGATAAAATGAAAAAAAAACAAACAGAAAAACACCTCTGGTGGAAAACGTTGTGATTAAATAAAATCTTTTTTGTGGCATTCCAGCAAATCTGCTAAATTTGTTCGCATTAAAATGTTCCCTTAGTTTTGCCGCCGGTGGTCTAGTGGTTTGCGTGCGCCATTAACAGAGGATGTTGTCCTTGAAGCGGGTTTGGGTCTGACCTGTGGCCATGACATTTCCCACTCTCTCTCTCTCTCTCTCTCTCCCTGGTTTCTGACTCTGTCCACTGTCCTACATCAATAAAGACATAAGGAGCTAACAAATAAATGTTGCAGTAGTTGAATTCTAACATAGAATTCGCTAATACTGACAACAGTGTTTGTTTGTATTATGCTGCAGTTTAGTGATGTATCCATGGGGTCAATAAGAAAGAAGAGGAGGAGGAGGAGGAGGAGGAGGAGGAGGGAGAAATACATAAATTCAATCTTGAGCTTTTTTGAAATGTAGTTTTTGCCAAGACCAAAACCAAATCTCCAAATCAGCCAGTTACTCCAACAAACAGGTTCATTGTCCTGCTCTGTTTCTTTATGATGAGGGTGGTTGCTGTTATTCTAACCATGCTACCGGTAACTGGATGTTGTCATGTTAACCCTTTCACGCTCGCTTACTGAAGAGGCTCCTTTATTGCTCAGACAGATCTTCAGGGCGTGTCTTGATTATAACTAAGATCCCTTTTTTGTTTGGATTTTAAATCTCCTGAGCAATTATCGACCATCATAACATTTCATTCTTATCTTTGACAGACACATAAACACACATCACAGAGCAGGAATGTGTTTAAACAAAGAAAAGCCTGTTTAACATATCTTAGACTAAGTCAGAGAGTGAGAGATACCTGGCACATCATGCATGACCTGATATATCAGCGCTGAGGTATGAGGCGGCATTAAGACCCATTACAATGACCCACTATGTACTGACTATACGTTTGCCTTTCCCTCTTATTCCATCAACATGTTGGGACAAAAACTAATCCCACTGAATCAGGGAAGTAATTATCTTTAGTTGAAGATAAACACCTTGAAAGCACCTCTGTCAAATTAAGCAGAAAAACACAGTGAAGGCTGTTTTTGTTTTTTTCTGACATGTTTAAGCTCTGAGGTCAGAGCTGGTGTTGATGTTGAACTAGCCTGTATTATATTCACAGGTGTTTCTGATCTTTAACCCCACCTCATGTATGTACACAGAAGGACAAAAATGTCATGTAGTCCAGTACATACCCATCTTTAAATGTAA